CAGTGCGGGACCCCCGGTCAGTGCGGGACCCCCCGGGCAGTGCGGGACCACCGGGATCCCCCCAGTCAATGCGGGACCACCGGGATCCCCCCCGGTCAGTGCGGGACCCCCCGGGCAGTGCGGGACCACCGGGATCCCCCCAGTCAATGCGGGACCACCGGGATCCCCCCCGGTCAGTGCGGGACCCCCCGGGCAGTGCGGGACCACCGGGATCCCCCCAGTCAATGCGGGACCACCGGGATCCCTCGGGGGCACTGTAGGACCACCGGGACACTCCCTGTATCAGTGCCGGGTCCACCAGGACCCCCCCGGATCAGCGCAGGGCCACCGGGACCCCCTCCTGGGTCAGTGCCGGGACCACCGGGACCCTCCCTGTGGGGCCACCGGAACACCAGGGCCATGCCCGGGTCACCACGGGACCATCGGGGCACCGGGACCTACCCCGGGTCAGTGGCCCAGGGACCCCAAACCCCCCGGGACCCCCATGTCAGCAGCACCGGGACCCCCGGGACCCCCTATGACAACATCACCGGGACCCCCAAGGCACCGGGACCTCCGGTTTGTTCCACCGGGACCCCCGACACACCGGGACCACCCCCGGTACCCAACACCTCGGGGACCCCCGAGCCGCATCCCCGGGACCCCGCAGCCCTCCAGACCCCCCCTCTCCGGCCGCCGCTCGGGTTTCGCTCCCCGGTGCGATCCGGTTTCCCGGTGGGATCCGGTTTCCCGGTGCGATCCGGTTCCTGGTAGGATCCGGTTTCCCGGTGGAACCCGACGCCGGCCGGGCCGGGATGCAGGCGGGGTCCCCGCCCTCGGGGATGCTGCCGGTGCCCGATGGATCCCGGAGGAGCCCGCTGGGTGCCGGGGCACCGGGAGGAGCCCGCTGGGTGCCGGGGCACCGGGAGCGCTCCGGAATCCGCCGGCCCCGCCCCGCAGGAATGCGCGGCGGGCGCGCGCCATGCCCATATAAGGGCAAATTGCGCAGGAGGGGCCCGAACCCCCCCGGTCCCCGTTCCAGTGCCGGTCCCGGTTCCAATCCCGGTCCCGGCCCCTGCCCCGCTCCCTGTCCTGGTTCGTGTCCCGGTCCCGCATCCCCCATCCCCGGTACGAACGGCGCCGCCCGGGCCGGACTTTGCCCCGGGAGAGGCCGCGCCCGAGGCCGCGCAGGAAGCACCGAGGGCGGCGGCACCGGGAGCGGCGGGGCCGGGCCGGGGGGGTCCCTGGGCCGTGCCCCGAGCTGGGGGGCTCCGCTCTCCGTTCCCGGTATCCGGTGCCCGGTGCCGGTCACTCACCCGCGGTCTGCTCCTCCGAGAAGTCGCACTGCGGGGGGAGCGCGGCGGTCAGCGGGCACCGGCGGCGGCACCGGCGGCACCGGCACCGGCATCCCCCGCGGATGGAGCGGCCGCCCGGGGGGACACCCAAAGGGACACCCCAAGGACCACCCAGCCCCACAGGGACACCCCCACGGGGACATCACACAGGGGACACCCCCATGAGGGACACCCAGCCCCACCCCCACAGGGACACCCCCAAGGACCCCCCCCATTTTGGGGACACTCGAAGCCACCGCCGTGTCCTCCCTCCTTTATTAGCGCGGGGGACAGGGACAGCCCGGAAGGCAGCGGGGGTGGCAGCGCGGGGACATCCGGGGACATCCCGGCGGTGGCGGCATGGTGACAGCACGGTGACATCCCGGCGGTGGCGGCAGGCGCGGGGACATCCCGGTGGCGGCACGGTGGTGGCATCACGGCAGTAGCCCGGCGGTGGCGTCCCGGTGACTTCTGGGGACATCCTGGGGACATCCCGGGGGTGACATCTCGGGGACATCCCAGGGACATCCCGGTGACACCGGTGACATCCCAGCAATGACACCTTGGTGACATCCCGGTGACATCGCAGGGACATCCTCGTAACGTCCCGGTGACGTCCAGGCGGTGACACTTTGGGGACATCTCGGTGACATCCCGGTGACATCCAGGGACGTCCCGGTGACATCCCGGTGACACTTTGGTGACACTTTGGTGACATCCCGGCGGTGGCAGCAGCAGCTCCAAGCGTCCCCCGGGTGAGGGGGGGGGTGACACCCCCGGTTCGGGGGTCCCTGGGGGGGGTGACACCCCCGGTGTCCCCGCTGTCCCCGTTCGGGGGTCCCTCTTCATCCCCCTCCTCCTCCTCCTCCTCCTCCTCCTCCTCCTGCGGCCGCTCCGCGTCCCCCCCGCGCTGTCCCCTGCCGGCCGCCCTCTCCTCCACCTGCTGCGACACCAGCACCTGCCGGGGGGACAGCGGCGGTGCCACATTCAGGGCGGGGGGGTCTCCCCTCTGCCCCCCACCCCCTCCCCAAGCCCGGGACCCCCACTCACCCCGAGCTGCGCCCGCAGCAGGAGCTGCGCGCCCCCCGCCAGGGGCACCCAGCCGTCCATGGCCAGCCCCTCCCGCGCCAGCAGCTGCGCCAGGGGCAGGCTCAGCGTGCCCAGGGTGTGCCCACCTTCCTCCTTCACCTGCGGGCACAGCCGAGCTCAGCGAGACCCCCGTGAGACCCCCCCCGACGCGGGACCCCAGACCCAACCAAACCCCCCGGGCACCTGCAGCTCCAGCGACTCCGCGTGCGGCCGCTTGATGAGGAAGGAGAAGCCTTCGTCCCACACGGGCTCCGTGGAGGGGGCGCAGGTCTGGGGGGGTGGCGAGGGGCGGCAGGAGGTCAGAGACCCCCTGGACCCCTCCCCAAAATCCCCCCGCCCGCCGAGGCTCACCTTGGTTTTGAAGGAGACGTCGCGCACGGCCAGGCTGGCGAAGGCCGAGGGGGGCTTGGAGCCCTTGCGGAGCTGGGGACAGCGCGGGGGTCACCGCGGGGACATTTTGGGGACGTTTGGGGACATTTGGGGACGGCTCGGGGGGCTCCTCTCACCGGCAGGTCGGCAGCTCGGTCCAGGAAGACGCGGAGCAGAGCGGCGGAGAGCTCCGGGCCGTGCGAGGGCTGCAGGAGGCTGTTGGTGTGCAGCACCTGCGGGGCGGGCGGGGGTCGCGCCGGGCCGGGCGGGGGTCGCACCCGGCAGGGCGAGGGTCGGGCCGGGGCGGGGAGACCCCCGGCAGGGCGGGGATGGGGGCAGAGAATGGGGGGAAAATGGGTTTGGGGTCTCTGGGGAGGGGATTTGCAGCCTGTGGGAG